TTCTCGATTCCTTTTCCTCCCAGCTTGCAAACCGGCAATGTTTTTTCAGGCTATCTCTTCCTCGTGGTATCTTGCCAAATGCAGCCTGTGACCAACACAGGCTGCCAGGGTTTCCCAACCTCTTCCACCAGACCTGTGAGTTATTTTGGACATCGCTTGCCTCATGGGTCGTCACAGTTGAGTTTTACCAAATGTTTTGTGGCTGCATACCACGGCTTCCAGTGATGGGCCCATGCCAGCCCCCGGCCTGCATCGTATGTCCTGATACAGCCTCACACCTATTCTGGGGCCGATGTCTGTGCTCTGGCAACAAACAGCTCTAAAATACCAATGTTTTATTTTATTTTATTTTATTTATTTATTTTTAAATTTATTTTTGGCGGTGTTGGGTCTTCGTTGCTGTGCACAGGCTTTCTCTAGTTGCAACGAGCGGGGGCTACTCTTCGTTGCGGTGCACGGGCTTCTCATTGCGGTGGCATCTCTTGTTGCGGAGCACGGGCTCTAGATGCGCGGGCTTCGGTAGCTGTGGCTTGCGGGCTCTAGAGCGCAGGCTCAGTAGTTGTGGCGCACGGGCTTAGTTGCTCCGTGGCATGTGGGATCTTCCCGGACCAGGGCTCGAACCCATGTCCCCTGTGTTGGCAGGTGGATTCTTAACCACTGCACCGCCAGGGAAGTCCCTAAAATACCAGTGTTTTAAATAACGAAGTTTTATCTCTCACTCGTGCCTTGTGTCCGCTTCAGGCCAGGCGGGGGTGTGGGCTTCCTGTCTCTCGTTCCTCAAGGACCCATGCTGATGGACGAAAGCACCTCGCCAGAGATGGGGCTGTGAAGGGGCCCACACCAGCAGTCAGACACGCTGGGGCCGTGCACCACGTCTGTCCACTCCTGCCACGTGCATGGAGGTGGGGGGTTTCGGCCAGCGGCAGTACTGACCACCATAGGGGCTGAGGGCAGTGCCGGGAGACAGAACTTTTGGGACAGAGAGGGGAGCAGTCAGGCAGGAGAATTGGGCCGAGGGGGGTGATGTCCAGGATGGGGATGGGAGTGGCTGTGAGCATCGGATCTGCGGGGGCCAAGGAAGGCGGGGCAGCAAGGAGAGATGGTGTGTGGAGAGCTGACCCGTGAGGGTTTGTGCGTAGAGCCCCGCGCTGCCTGGAGCCTCTCTGGAGTCCAGGTACGGGCATCTTGAGTCCCTCAAGCCGTGTCCTGTGTGGTCCAGACTCGCCTTGGGGGCGCTTCTCTCCCCTCCCCCACTCTTACTGGGACTTACTGGGGGTAAGCCCCCCTCTCTCGGGCCAGATGCCTCCGGTGGAACTTCAGATGTAAACATGCCGAGTCAAGCACCCACCCAGGAGAGCACCAACCGCGTGCACAACGGCCAGCACTCCCCGGCCCAAGCTGACCCCCAGGGAAGCAGGGCTAACAAAGCAATCAGAACAGGACTAACGTCTCAGCCACACAATGGCGGGGTGGGGGTGGTTTGAAATAAACCCTAAGACAGGCATAGGCACCTGTGAAATGACCAGGAGTCAAGAAAAAGAACCAGTCAGAGACCTTGGAAGTTTCTTAAAGGGACAACTTTTTAAATAAAAAAAAATGCAACCCGAGAAGAATGGTCACAATGAAGACGGGACTCACGGACTGGAACATCAGACAAAGAGCGGTCCTAGTGTCCGCGAAGGCCCGACGAAGGGAAAGTACAGAGGAAACGCGAAGCAGCAGGATTCGCCCATGACCCGGGGTCGTGGAAAGACTGGGGCGCACGAAAAAGCTCAGGCTGGTCAAGGCATCCTCGCTCTCAACACATCCGGGACTCCAGCCTCCTCTCCTTAGCCATCGCCCCCCTCTACCCACCATCAGACCTCCCCAGCCAGGCTGGGCCACCTAAGGCCGCCTCGCCCCAGGCAGCCTCCCTAACTCACATACCCTAACACGGGCTGTCCTTTCACCAAGAACAATCTGATGGCAGCTGTTAGGGGTTGTCTTTTTTCTTTTTCCTTCACTTTCTCTCTAAATAATCACCAGACACTGGGAGGGTGAAGGCCAAGCGCAGAGTGCGCCCTGAACACGGGCTGTGCCGAGGCTCCCGCAGGGCTAGCCCAGCATCCGGCAGGGGCTCTAATGGGCACAGGGCAGGGTGTGCCCTGAACACAGGTTGTGCCGAGGCTGCCACAGGGCTAGCCCAGCATCTGGCAGGGGCTCTCAGCACAGGGCAGGGTGTGCCCTGAACACGGGCTGTTCCGAGGCTCCCACAGGGCTATAGCCCAGCATCCGGCAGGGGCTCTAATGGGCACAGGGCAGAGTGCGCCCTGAACACGGGCTGTGTCGAGGCTCCCGCAGGGCTAGCCCAGCATCCGGCAGGGGCTCTCAGCACAGGGCAGGGTGGAGAGCGCTACCGCCCACCCATCCAGGCCCAGATAATCCTTCCTTGTTCAAAAATGTATGAGCAAGCAGAGAGGAACAGAGAATGTGACGCCCGCAGTGCAGAAAATATCCCACTTTGGAAATCCAGTCACCTCAGAGCACTGAAGTCAAGAAGAAATTACGTGTATTGTGTTCAAAAGAAAAGAATACACGACCACTTTGGAGCCGTAGTTAAAGGGGAAAGTCCTATCAGGAGCGGGTATTATTTTTAACAATGAGGTAAAAAAAAACAAAACCCAAACAATCTAAAACATCACCCCAAAAGAATCCATTCCTCTGTCAGCAAGCAAAGCGACCTAGGCCTGCCTGGTTTCGGAATGCTGGCTCCGTCCCACGTATAGCTGTGGGGTCCTGGGCTGCCCCCTCCTCCCTTTGAAGTTCAGGTTCTTTGTCGTAAAATGGGACAGTGACACCTACCTCTGAGATGCGTGAGGATGGTACAAACTCCACGTCTCATCGTTGTCAAATGCATTTGACCCTTCAAGCCCTCAGGGGTGGGACCTTCCTCACTTCTGTTGAACTGATTGCGGGTTGCAGGAGAGACACAGGTGGCTTTGTTCCAGCCCTGCCTGGGGAGATTCCTTCAGCTTGAACCTTCAGACAGGGGCAGGGGAGAGACCCACGCTTCCAGGACGCACTCCCGCTCTGCCCCAGCGAAGACCGTCCCACAGGGAAACAGTCCACATTCGTGGCCCCCGCTGACGGCCCTCGGCCCAGGCCCAGCCTTGTTTCTCGCTTAATCCTCAGCCCGCCCCAGGGCCTCTGCGCTGTGGGGGTTGCAGTTGGAGACGGGCGCAGAGAGCAGCTGGGACAGCCGCCCAGCAGGGCCAGGTTTCCAGTGATTCTTGCTCAGGTGGCTTCAGGGAGCTCCTGGCTCGGGGGCCCTGGACTACTGCTCTGTGTGCCTCCCGGCCCCGCTGGGGCGGACACCCGTGCTCCCACCGTCTCTCGGTGCTCAGAGGCCAGAGTCAGCTCTGAGATGCGCGTGGTGGAGGCTGGCCCTACACGCCCAGGGCCTTGCTAAGGTAGGGGGCCTCCCGCCTGTCCCGTCCCCTCAGGAGGAGAGCCCCGGAGAGAAGGGCTTTGCTCAGAGGGACACAGCCACCCACTGCCCGCGGGCCTGGGACACGAGTCAATCTCGGGCTGCCTGGGGTCGGGCACATGGCCTTCGCTGTTCTGTGGGCCTGAAACTGCCTTGCATTTCAGACGCGTCAATGTAACTGAGAGCGTGTCTCAAGAGCTTCCTAACCTGAGGGGCCCGAGGCCAATCCTTCCAGCTCCACGGGGCCTCCCGATGTCTCACTTGTAACCGTCAAACAGCGCTGTGACATGGAGCTGGTGTTCCCACCTTACAGCGAGGGCCCTGAAGTCAGACTTTAAATAACTGCCCATCCCAGGACCTGCGGTTGTGGAGACTGGGGTTGTGCACCAGCTGCCCCCAGAACACCTCCTCACTTTCCCACCCCAGGCTGCTTCCAACGCCTCCTGATACCCACAAGCCAGAGGCTCCACTCTGCACAGGGCTGGGGGCTGGGCCCAGGAGGGAGAGGGGACTACTGCTAATTGGCCAAGGGGTCATCTCTGCACCCAGAGGTGGGGAATGGCACCACAGGGCTTGTGGGGATAAGTGTGGCCCAGGAGGAACTGTGCCCGCAGGCCGACAGGAAAGCTGTCTTCACGCCATCTCGGTGTTGGTCACAAACCAGCACTGCAGGCCTGGGCTGCTGCCTACCCAGCACCAACTGTCTCCTGGCCCCTTCTCTGGGCATGGGCCCAGCTCTGGACACCGACATGTGCACAGGAAACTGCCTGCTCTCCAGAGCTTGCAAGCCTGGGTAAGTGGCACAGCAGAGGCCCCCACTTAGAGTCCAGATCCTGGGCTGGCCCCAGCCCGCTGCTCACCACCCCAGCGTGTTACCTGGAGCAGACCAGTTGCCCAACACCCCAGGTCAGGGAAGTTTCTCTTAGTCCTTCAGGACACCCACATGAAGCAGGGTCCAGGCCATTCCTGATTCCATCCAGCTACGGTGCAGCCTCCAGCCTGCCATAAACATCTGGGAGAGTCAGCACCACGGGGGCAAGGGTCATGAAGTGAGCATCCCAGAGAGAGATGTCAGATGATGCGGTCACTCCCTTCTCTAGAACCTCAGCAGAGATGAGGACCCTAGGCCTCCAAACCCACACCCCCACACCACCCCCCCCC